AAGGTAGGGGACTCAATGCCAACCTTCATTGGTGATGGTCTAGTGATCATTTTGCCTTGGTAACAAGCATCACAAAAAAATTCATTATTTGTAAGAATCTTCAGGTTCTTTAATGGATGCCCACTCGAATTTTCAGTAATTCGTCTCATCATTATTGATCCAGGATGGCCCAAACGGCCATGCCAAAGCACAAAAGTATTTGAATCAGTAAACTTCTGATTTACGATAGAGTGTGCTTCAACTGTACTAATCTTTGAATAATATAAGCCAGAAGATAAAGTTGGTAACTTTCTACAATGCATTTCTTGCCAGAAATATTCTTTGTAATACAAAGATATTCCACATTCATTTCATCTATTGTCTCAACATGATACCCATTTCGGCGGATATCTATAAAACTCAACAAGTTTCTTCGGGACTTGGAGGAGAACAATGCATTGTCTATAATAAGTTTTGTTCCCTTAGACAGAAATACAATAGCTCTTCCGGAGCCTTCAATCAAACTTATATTACCAGAAATTGTAGAAACATTTGCTTTTTCCTTATGCAAATAAGAAAAGTATTTCTGATCTTTGAATATGGCATGAGTTGTTCTACTATCAACTGCACAAATATCTTCATGATTGGTCTTTGATCCAAACATAATTTAAGGATTATCCATATTCTTCAAAATGACATAAACAAAATAAATATGATAGTAAACATTATAACTTTTATTTATGTACAACAATTACATAACTATACTATCTACTACAAATAACAGAAATTAAAATATTTACATCTCTACAGATTCACTACCGATCACATGACTTGTTTCTCCTTCTGGGAGTGTAAAGTAATCAACTACATCCAAATGCATGAAGCCTAAATTATCTTCAGAAATAAAATTTGCTTCAGCATTTTTCTGTCTTCTTCAGGGAAGCTTGATATAGCTCAACCAGGTGCTTTGGCGTACGTCATGTACGTGACCGGTGCTCTTTTCCTCCACATCTATAGCATGCATTTTCTGGCTTTGCTACTTGCACCGCTTCATGCTTTTGCTCCTTCCTTTTCTACTGTTGGTGGTGAGGAGGGTTCTTTGGTGTATTATTATTATTACCACGATTAGAGTTTCCTCCCCGACCACGGCCATGACCACGACTGGGGCCACGTCCTCTTCCACGTTTAGCTTGGTGGAAGTTCGTCTCATTCACTTCAGGGAATGGACAAGAACCAGTAGGTCGGCTTTCATGATTTTTCATTAATAGCCCATTATGTTGCTCTGCTACAAGAAGATGTGAGATAAGTTCAGAATACTTTTTGAATCCCATCTCTCGATATTGCTGCTGCAGGAGCATATTCGAGGCATGAAAAGTGGTGAAAGTTTTCTCCAACATATCATGATCAGTAATATTATCACCACATAGTTTCAATTGGGAAATAATTCTGAACATAGCAGAATTATACTCACTGATAGATTTAAAATCTTGTAGCCTTAGATGAGTCCAATCATAACGTGCCTGTGGAAGAACGACCATCTTCAGGTGGTCATATCTATCTTTCAAATTATTCCACAGTATGACTGGATCTTTAACAGTAAGATATTCCATTTTCAGGCCCTCATCAAGGTGATGGCGTAGGAATATCATTGCTTTGGCACGGTCTTGGTTTGATGCCTGATTTTTATCTTTGATGGTGTCTGCCAGACCCATCGCATCAAGATGAATTTCGGCATCAAGCACCCAAGACATGTAGCTTTTGCCCGATATATCCAGGGCTACAAATTCAAGTTTAGAAAGATTTGACATTATTTAGAAAAAGAAAGTTCGTACCTCTGATACTTTCAAAGTATTTGCTCGAGATGGCAGAGTCTCGTGCTGATAACGTGTTATAAAATAAAGACTGTAAAGTAAAGACAAGTATAGAGAGAAACTGATATATTATTCAAACTTCAAACTTCTGTACATAATGAACTGAATTCTGCTCTATTTATAGAAGAAAGGAAGCTGCTGTGTAAGCTGCTTGTAAGCTGCTGTGTAAGATATAGATAATCTTCTATCATTGGTAATATTTATGTATAGCGGAGTACCGAAAGGATAAACTTCTTCAGGAGGCTTATTTCCAATAGAGTACTAAATAGATAAACATATTTATGGCGGAGTCTTATATGGATAAATTTCTTCAGGAAGCTTATTTACAACGGAGTACTAAATGAACATCCATAATATAATATATTCATAACACTAGATACAATATCTTTGACGATAAATCCAATAACATCCAGAAGATGAAAATGAGGTGTCTAGTCCTTTTCTATTTTTGGTGTAAAGGAAAGTATTTAGAAGACCATGAGTCTATTGTTGTTGTCTTAGAATCCTTCTGAGAAGACAAAGGATTAGGAGTTTCTTCCAGTATTTCACACGGTAAATATGGGTGACTACACAGTTTTTGTGTAGTTTATTTATTAATATACAAATGTGTTCCTTCTCAAAAAATAAAAGTCTGTGCCAATGTCTACAAAGTCAAAAAATCAGAACCTCTCAGCAAATTTAAAAGTTGCATTTTAAGGCAAGAAGATTTTCTTCTTTTTGATAAGTAAAGCAAGAAAACTGTTAATGGCACATGAGGATAGTGCTTGCCCCTTTCTATGGAACAATAAGTCTTCTGATGGTGCAAACTGTAGGTTATGTCCTGCTGATTATAGGTATTCTCTGATGTTCCTTTGTGCATAAGAATGTGGACTATGATTCCAGTTTTAAGTTCGAGTAAGTAGGAATAAAGAGAGGAATTTGGCATCAGAATTCACCATATAGCTTGTGTATAATTTGAGCTCCAGTAACAAACTCAGCTTGGCTTCCATGTGGCATTTTACTTGCGGTCTCATTAATTGTGCTCAATTGCTTAAAAAGATAGCTCATTTAACTGATGTTCATATACGTCTTTCAACCTACTGAAGGATTTAGTTGACAAGGATAAGGGCAATGCGTTGATCTACAATCCAATCATTATGGCAAGACTAAATAGGATAGACTTTGACGCCATGTTTGCTGAAAGGCACAAGCTCAACCATCTCAGGGTACAGGTAATCTTCTTTTCTGGTGCTTTGTATTCGTTTCTGTGGTGGATCTCGTTCCTAATGACATGGTTGATGGTATTCTTAACCTCAAGATGCTAATGTCTATGTAATCATGATGCAGTCACTGAGTGTGGAGCCTAAGTGGGTAGGAGCTCCTTTTGCATCAATGCTTAGGAGGCACCAAATAGAAAATTGTGACGCAAATGAACGAGTCCTCCGTGTTGGACTTGTTCTAGCTTCATCAAGTTCTAGTGTCAAACAAGTCAAACACTTATCAATTGTTCTTCAGGTAATTCTGTACGGTACATAAATATCGCATGACTCTTCTTTGTAACTTTATCATAGTCTTGTACAAGTTCTAACTGTTTATTTGTTTTATGTTTAACTGCAAATTGCATTTTGGATAGGAGTTAGTTACGTTCTTGCCTATCACCATCAGCTTTCCATCAACGAGTTATTTAGTTACTCAGACCTCCTCTCTTGTTTATCAGAACTAAATAGACCTCTCATCTAGTTTGAAAAATATCTAGGGTCTCTTGTCCTGAAGTTTCAAGTTTGGTGTTCTAATTCTGATTCAATTGGTCAAATGCCCTTCATTAAACTTGAATATTGAACTAAAAATTGAAGAAAGAAGTTCGGTTTCAATTTTCCTTTTCAGGGTGGGGGTGGTTGGGGCTTGATTGTTTTCTTATGTCATCTTTATCTTGCTTTCCAANGGGGTTGTAGGGGAGGAAGGATGTGGAGGGAGTTCCCATTGAGATGAAATGGGTCTCTATGATGCCAATATTAAACTATAGTGAGGAGCTCCATTTAGTTTGGCTGTGTTTTTATATGTAAATGTAGATTTTTATTATAAATGGCACTCGAGAGTTACAGAGTTACCCGATACTTGTGTTGGTGAGAGGTACCAGGTACTCAATAAAATTAGTTGAGGTGCGAGCAAGCTGGCCCAGATACCATTGTTATAAAATAAAATAAAAGAAAAAGAAAAGGATTACAAGCTGGGTTGTAAGAGCCTTAAAAGGAAAAGGTGCCACAAGACCAAAGATAGCAAATGCATTGCAGATAAACACCTGCCAAAAGATGGCCTGAATTTTTCCTGAATTTTTTTAAATGAAGGACGGAATCAATCCAAAAGCATAGTAAGCCCCGACATGCTGGTCCTGCTCATTTGCCCTCCGTCTCCTGTTGGATCATTCACAAGTGGCAGTTGTAAATAGATGGCTTCTTTCATTAGACCATTGGCCTTTTTCCACCATGTCCAACAACAACAACAACAACAACATACCCAGTAATATCCCACACCGTGGGGTCTGGGGAGGGTAGTGTATACGCAGACCTTATCCCTACCTTGTGAGGACTTTCCACCATGTCCGTGAGTGAAAATAACACATTTTCTATGAAAGGTCATAATTTATCTTCTCCCTTTTTTTTTTTGGTTTAAAGGGCAAGAACTAATGGGACAATTGGACAATTCTGTTGATTTATATAGTTCTCAGATGGATTGTATGAGGGTTCCCAAAAGGATTTAGAAAGGTCCTATACTCTACTTACTGCTTTAAAGTTTTGAGTTGGGTGCTAATATTCTTACATATGGTATTAGAGCAAGTCTATTATCACACTCATAAGTCCGTATTAAAATGCTCATGTGAATGCTACAATGGGGTTATTTTGGTGGAAGGGTATTGAGTTCCTCATATCGAAGAATAATAGTGCATGCTAATGAAATTTTCAATACGTTTGGCAGATTAATCAACTGCATATAGGTAAAGATGCCCAACCCTGAATTCTCCTATGTAATAGATGAGGAGTGTGTTAGAAAACTTTAACAAAACTAGGAGCATCTGAAGTAAAGTTGTTTTATAGTACTTTTATGTGTATTACCTCTTTAACATTATCTGTTAAATCAGTTATCATGCTAACAGAAACTTTGGCAGGATGTTCAATTCTCCAAAGGCCTTCCCCATAATTTTTCTACTATTAGTCAGGAAACTGGTTTGTCACTTAGTTATGCTTTTGTTTAGGCAGGGACACGTTCCAAGATCAATAGGAAGTTGATATGTGACTCGCTCGTTGTCATATTTTTGCTATACTTACATATCCTGTTTGTTCCATCTTTATACCACTGAATTTTCTTTGCAGCCCCTTGATTTCAACCTCGATGAAGAGACATTAATGAGAATTGTTCCTTTCTGGAGAACGTCCCTCAGCGATACAAATACTCCAAGTCAAAAGTATTACATTGATCATTTTGAGATCCATCCTGTTAAGGTGTCTACAGCACTTTGGTTTCACTATGCCCTCCTCCCCCAGGGAAGTTCTTTTTACAATGAGGAGGAAATGTAAGTCACAGAATTAACTCACTTTTTCTTTCCTATTAATGTGCTGAAGGTTGTGGCAAGCTTTCTTCCTGGGGAATCTTATGCCAGCTATAGCTCCACGCAGGAGACACTAAGATCTTTACTTCACAGTGTTATAAAGGTGTGTTACATAGTACTAACTCTGTCTCATTTACGTGACACCATTCGGGCGGGATTGAGTTTAATATGTTCATTTGGCTTGTACATCGCATTACTAGTTAGTTTCAGACAGAACACATCGCGTGAAAGTTTAAAATTTGATTGGTTAAATAAAGTTGAATTCATGAAACTTCTGAAAGTTGCAATCATATTACTACTAGGAGGATGTCAAATTCTGTCAGGATAGAAAGAGTGTACTGTAAATTGTGGATGGAATATTCAAATACTGTACAGTTGTTCACTTACTATTTAAGTAAAGGTCTGTTCTTGATTTACCTGTGGTGTAACATTCTTTCTCCTATATCTGCATTTTTAGATTCCTACCATAAAAAATATGACAGTAGAGCTCAATGGCATCCTTGTAACTCATGCATTGGTCACTTTCCGGGAGTTGTCAATTAAATGTGCCCAACATTATTCCTGGTAAGCCTGTTTTATTACTAGTATGGCCTATGCTCTCAATAATTATTGTTGAATAGCAGCTGAAAATTGTCATTATCTCTAGGTACGCAATGAGAGCAATCTACATTGCAAAGGGAAGTCCCTTGCTGCCACCAGCTTTTGCTTCTATTTTTGATGACTTAGCTTCATCATCTCTCGATGTTTTCTTTGATCCTTCTAGTGGGCTTCTTAATCTTCCTGGACTCACTGTTGGTATGCCCTTGAAACTCCTAAATCCGTTGCTTACTGCTTGGTGCATTATTTTAGATGAGTATTGCTGAGTTACGCAACCTGTGTTTTCATGGACAAGCATGTTGTGTAGCTAATCTCTTTTGATGCATTGGTGCTCTTATGGGGTCTTTTGTGGCAGCTCTTTCGAATTTGCCTGTGCATTGAAGTACCAGGAAGCAAATACTTCATGTGGAAATGAAGAATATTTTGCACTTTAATGAGACAATTTGAATATTACAATCTTCTTATTTTGGGGAACATGCCTTAGCAAGATTTGCTTCTTAGCAGAAATGATCTTCTCGTGTTGGGTGTGGTTTTTGTACAACATAGATCTTGTCAGTAATTGAAATTTGTTTAGCAAAATTATCTTCTAAGTTGCAAATTAGGCAGGCAAATGAAAGTAGCTTGTCTATCATGGCAAAGTCAGGGACTACTAACTCTGCCCATTTTCTTAAGCGCCTATGACAGAGAAAGTTCTTTCAATTTGAAATGCTTAATGAGATAATTTGTAACTTAATCCAACCTGATTACTAGAACAAATGTAAGTCAAGGAGAGTTTCCAAACCATAAAACTGTTCACAAATTTGAATTATAGTGCGGATAGATTAAATAGGATGTCAGGATTTTTACACAGTACTTTATACCCAATTTTCATGAAAGTGATGATATCGGCTGCTTTTCCGGTCCACTTTTGCTTTATATGAAGAATTAGCTCGACAATCTTTGCTGCAGGTCTCTTCTCTTAGAATTTACTGGCAAGTATGACGTTTCCCATTTATTTGTGTATGTTGCCTTACTGAAATCTTTGCTTGCATTTTGGATGATAGGTACTTTCAAACTCATTAGTAAATGTATTGATGGTAAAGGGTTTTCTGGAACAAAAAGATACTTCGGTGATCTAGGGAAAACTGTAAGTTCTATAGTTAATTTTGTTGTCATGGTTGCTTTGTAATTGTCAATGGTGGGGCATAAGCTATTTCCTATGCAGTTAAAGTCAGCAGGATCAAATATCCTTTTTGCTGCTGTCACTGAAATATCAGACTCGGTTCTGAAAGGAGCAGAAGCTAGCGGGTTAAATGGAATGGTAAGAACATCTGATCTAATAGCATGCCAAATATTGTAACTACTAAGTTCCAAACTTGAAACTTTCAATTAAACCTTGATTTAGTTACGAGTTTGGCACTGTCTCAGGTTGTAGTTTGGCTCTGTCATCCAAATTTAATTTCATGCGTGCTTTCCAGGTGTATGGTTTTCATCAAGGAATACTTAAATTGGCAATGGAACCTACGCTACTGGGGAGTGCTTTCATGGAAGGTGGCCCTGATCGAAAAATTAGGCTTGATAGAAGTCCTGGGGTTGATGAGGTATGATGCATTTGTGGTGATGATTTCTTATTCATCTCAACTTTTTTCTGTAGAGATAACAGCTGCTTATGGTTGCAAACTTATGTTGTTTGAGTGGGATAAATCAATGCTCCATTTTATGTGCCGTCAAAGAAACATTCAGACATGTTTGGTCAAGGCTCAGCGGAGATGGCCGTGTTGATTGACTTAACTTGCATGGTTTTGGACACTCATGTCTAGCTGGCCACTTCCCCTGGATCTTCATGACTCATCTATCTTGTAAAAGGGGAATGGATGAATTTTATTATGGAAAAAGTCTGCACGACATTGAATAACAACACTCTAAACTGCATAACACTGTGTATTGATGAACCAAACTGTTGTTGGAGTAAATATTGTCAGCTATATACTACTCCATGACTTTAATTTCAGGTGCAACTGTTTAGTTAATTTTTTTTTTGGTAGAACTGTTTAGTTAAATTTCCTAGCAAATTATGGAATTTCTAGCCATTTCATCAAATTATGCAGAGGATAGGACTCGTCATTTCTATGGGCCTAAAAATTGTAGTATGGTCTACAGGAGTCCTAAATCTTCTTTTTGGATGAAATAATCTGGCTAGATGGCCTCTGAAGAGCTTGGAAATTTTAAAAATAGCTGTTGAGGAAACATTTAAATTCTGACTGAGAATCTGTTGCCAAGCTAACTGAATGAATATCTGTCGCTAGTTCTGATACATTATCCAATGTTATTGCTCTTGTTTCCAGTACGACAGTTTAGACGGTGCTGTCTTTCCTGTTGTTTTGGGGGGTTGTAAAAAACTCCTAGTGCTGAATATTTCAATTCACTGCAATTAGTGTCATTTCATATCTAGTGTGTGTTTGTGATAGGTTCTAGTTGTTCTAGCAGATTAAATCATCATATAAGTGACTCTTTCCGTTGTGATGCAGCTTTACATTGAAGGGTATCTGCAGGCCATGTTAGATACATTGTATAAGCAAGAATACCTGACAGTCAGAGTCATTGACAACCAGGTAATTGAACTATGTTCTCAGTATGTGTGTATGTGGTTTGCCCTTTTCTTAAAATATGTCAAAATTGAAAAAATGTAGCTTTGTTTTTTCTTCTTTTTTCTTAATTATTTATAAATATGTCACCGCTGAAAAGTTCTAGCGCTGTAGTTACCTTCTTCATGAGACTAAACTTTTCTGTCAGCACTATTGTAAAATTAGGAATACATGAGGGCATTGACAGCTTGCTTAGCTCTAATTTTATTTTCATAGCAAATTAAGTGCACATGTAGTGATGCCAATCTAAGTGTAACATGAATCGCAAATGACTTTTATGCTCTTTATATTCTGAAGGTTATCCTCAAGAACCTACCACCAAGCAGTTCTCTTATAGAGGAGATTGTGGAACGCGTGAAGGGATTTCTTGTGAGCAAAGCGTTGTTGAAAGGAGATCCTTCAATAGCTTCTCATTCCTTGCGTCACATTAGAGGGGAACGTGTGAGTACTACTATCTTAGTTGCTTCTTGAATGTTTACTAGTATACATACCCCGCGTGGATGAGCGGATCGTTTCAATATAAAAAAGAGTGGAGAAAATTAATAAAAATAAATGTATATTTCATACTAAACTTAGCGACCGCATTCAAAAGAATGAAACCAAAAAATAAATAAATGAATTTCATCGAGTTGTCTCTATAAAATTGTTGCTAGAGAAGAACAGTTAACCTCAAAAAATTAAATTTCTTCATCCAATAAAAAATCAGCAACTCATTTAGTTTTTGCTAGTATCTCTAGTAGTTTGCCACTTTTTCATTGTTCTATACTTTTTTTTTTTGTTGACTTTATCTATTATGATTTTAGTTATGCTGTATAATCCATTGTATGGATTTCTTATCATAATTTAAAAGATACTTTCTCATCTCAAATTCAAATAAATCTTATCTCTATATTTTATAATATTTTTTTAGTTTTCTTTTTTGTGCCGAGGGTCTATTAGAACCAACCTCTCTATCCTTACTCTCTATCCTTACAAGGTAGGGGTAAGGTATGCGTACACACTACCCTCCCTAGACCCCACGGTGTGGGATAATACTGGGTATGTTATTGTTGTTGTTGTTTCTTTTCTGTGAGTAAGCTTATTTACTCGTTAGTTGAAATTCTTTCATTGTTCAATATTTTTTTTATTGATTTTATTAAGATTTCAGTTGTGTGGAGTTATATTACGTGTTGGTAAATTGCCAACTTAAAATATAATAGGTTTCAGAATAAGTAACTTTTAATATATAAAAATCATTACTTCCTTAAAAAAATGTAAATATTTCTTTCTCTTTTTTGTACATTATTACTTATCATTATTGCATTATTCATTATTTGGTATCTTTATATTTTTGTGTTGCCTCTATTAGTTTACTATTTGATAAAATATCCTTTCTTAATATAAAAAGTATTTTACTTGTAATTAAAATATCCTTATTTTTTTAATTAAATTGTAATTTTGCATTCATTAAAAATATAAAGAGAGAAGTCTTTTATTATTTTGTTCAAAAGTCTAAAGAGATGAGCCTTCTATTAATTACATTCTTTAATCGTCTACATTTACAAATAATACTTTTGTATATTATTTACTGATTTTATAATTTTTTTTCTTGGTTATATTTTTTGGTGTTTAAATTTTTTTCATGAATAGTTGTTAAATTTATCGAGTGGCGTTGTAGTATTTTGACACTTGGCTTAATCTTATGAATGACTATTTTTTTGTTCAAAAATTGCCAAGTGATTTTTTATTATGTTGCCACTTGGCTTAATGTGGTATATTTGTCTCTCCTTTTATTATACATAGATAAGATATAACTACATAATAATTTCTACTATATCTTTATATTTTTTATTTATTTCTTGTAATTATTGTTTATGTTTTTGTCATTAGTTTTATCTATTATAATATTTTTAGTTAAGTGATCTTATAGATATAGCATGATCATATGAATTATTATTCAAAAACTTTCTCATCCCAAAAAATAAATTAGTCTCATCCTTTTATATGTCTCTACACTGAAGTTATTTATTTATATATTTTTCCTCTCTTTGTATAATAGTTTCCTTAAAAATATATTGATATTTAATTATTTTTAATTCAAATTCAAAAAAGTAACTAATTATTAACTAATCTAACTAATTTTGTCTTAAAATTACCACATGTCTTTCTCCTACGCTGCCACTTGGTATAATCTTAGGCTAGACTTCCTTCCTTTAAATATTATATAGATAGATATAGATATAGATTAATCTTATAAATGACTATTTTTTTGTTCTAAAATTGCCAAGTGATTTTTATTATGTTGTCACTTGGCTTAATATGGTGTATTTGTCTCTCCTTTTATTAATATTTAAATACTATCCATTTAATATAATATAAATATGGATTATAACTTTATAACCAATGACCTTTGACCAAATAGCAACGAGCAAATAACTATATCTAAGGTTTGATATCTTTTACGGCAAACACGCGCGTGGAGTTATATTACGTGTTGGTAACTTGCCAACTTAAAATATAATAGGTTTCAAAATAAGTAACTTTTAATATATAAAAATTATTACTTCCTTAAAAACTTAAAATATAATAGGTTTCAAAATAAGTAACTTTTAATATATAAAAATTATTACTTCCTTAAAAACTTAAAATATAATAGGTTTCAAAATAAGTAACTTTTAATATATAAAAATTATTACTTCCTTAAAAAAAACTGTAAAATTTCTTTCTCTTTTTTGTTCATTATTACTTATCATTATTGCATTATTCATTATTTGGTATCTTTATATTTTTATGTTGCCTCTATTAATTTACTATTTGATAAAATATCCTTTCTTAATATAAAATGTATTTTACTTGTAATTAAAATATCCTTATTTTTTTTATTAAATTGTAATTTTGAATTCATTAAAAATATAAAGAGAGAAGCCTTTTATTATTTTGTTCGAAAGTCTAAAGAGATAAGCCTTCTATTAATTACATTCTTTAATTGTCTACATTTACGAATAATACTTCTGTAGGAGTATTATTTACTGATTTTATAATTTTTTCTTGGTTATTTTTTTAGTGTTTATTTTTTTTTTCATGAATAATTGTTAAATTTATCAAGTGGCTTTGTAGTATCTTGACACTTGGCTTAATCTTATGAATGACTATTTGTTTGTTCAAAAATTTCCAAGTGATTTTTTATTATGTTGCCACTTGGCTTAATATGGTGTATTTGTCTCTTCTTTTATTATATATAGATAAGATATAACTACATAATAATTTCTATTATATCTTTATATTTTTTATTTATTTCTTGTAATTATTGTTTATGTTTTTGTCATTAGTTTTATCTATTATAGTATTTTTAGTTGAGTGATCTTATACATATAGCATGACCATATGAATTATTATTCAAAACTTTCTCATCTCAATAAATAAATTAGTCTCATCCTTTTATATATCTCTACACTGAAGTTATTTATTTATATATTTTTCCTTCCTTTTTGTATAATAGTTTCCTTAAAAATATATTGATATTTAATTATTTTTAATTCAATTCAAAAAAGTAACTAATTATTAACTAATCTAACTAATTTTGTCCTAAAACTACCACATGTCTTTCTCCTACGCTGCCTCTTGGCATAATCTTAGGCTAGACTTCCTTTCTTTTAATAATATATAGATTATGTAGTATGACATTTTTCTAATTTTTTTTGTTTTGTTTTTTGAAATGGGTATATATTATAAAACATCAGCACAAAGGAAATGCTGGAATCCATATTTACAGATAACAAAATGCAAAAATATCACCTGCACATCTCACAGGGATCTATGACATCTATGATAGATTTTGCTTAATCTACATATTTTTCTTTACATTGTCATCCCATGCTTCATTTTTTTTATTAGGTAAATTGTATTAACAAAATGGAGAAAACTCCCGTATACCAGAAGTATACCAAAAAGTAGAGAATTTACATCAAAACATGATTCTCTATTTCTCTACAAAAGGCGCCCAATTTTCTATACAAGTGGGGGCTATATGAGTGCACCAAAAAGCGATCAAAGATAAAAGACTATTCTTAAGATGGGAAAAAGGAGACTCAATCCCCTCAAACACTCTCCTATTTCTCTCCCCCAAACTATCCACAAGAGAGCTAACATGGCAAACTTCCACGCCTTTTGCCTTCTTCTCCCACGAAAACCGGCCCAGCTATGTAACAAGTCCCTTACAGTGCTTGGCATCACCCATTGAACACCAAAAAGATTCAGGATAACCCTTACCCGAAGATACGGGGCAATGCAACAAAGATGATCAATTTCTTCCCTCGAGCTTTTACACATATAGCACCAACTAACGAGTGTAATGCCTCTCTTTCACAGATTTTCAGCAGTCAAGATCACTCCCCTCGCCGCTAGCCATGCCAAAAAGCACACCTTCATAGGCGCCCTAGGAATCCAGATCGAGGAGTATGGGAAAGGGGCATCCTCCCTCACCCTGGTAGAAGGACTTTACGGTGAACAAACCATCTCCCCTTAACCCCCATCTCCAAGAATCACAAGAGGGTTGGGGTTGTCTTGCCCATATAGCAGTTCCAACAAACTTTGGAGCTCCGTAATCTCCCAATCTTGCATGTTCCTTCTAAATGAGAGGTCCCATGCTACCCCCCATTCATGCTCCTTGCGAATCTGTTGAACCATCAATTCTTTCTGATTTGAAACTCTGAAAACGTGAGGGAAAAAAACCCTCAGAGTATCCTCTTCACACCACCTGTGGTTCCAAAAGCTGATTTTCCTTCCATCTCCAACCCTGTAAGTGATGCTGCCACTGAAGGCTTCCCAATTATTCATGATGCTCCTCCACATGCCACACCCGAAAGGTGCTGTGATTGCCTTGGTCCTCCAACCCACTCCATGGAATCATACTTTTCTACTATTACCTCCCTCCATAAAGCGTGCTCCTCTACCCAGAATCTCCACAACCACTTCCCCGACAAAGCTCTGTTGAACACTCTAAGATCTTTTAATCCAAGTTTACCCCCCTCCTTTGGGGAAGTGACGGTTCGCCAATTCACCAAATGAAATTTTCTAGTTCCATCTGCCGTATCCCAAAGAAAATTTCTTTGAAGCCGCTCCAATTTTTTTGTGATGCTCATAAGGACAAGTAATAGGTGGGCATACTCGATAAGCTGCTTTTAATAAGCACTCCTTTCCGCCTTTTGACAAGTACCGTTTTTGCCAGCCTGCTAATTGTTTTTCAACCATTTCGATCACTGGATTCCAAGCCGTAGTATACTTATGCGAAGCACCCAATGGAAGCCCCAGGTAAGTAGTGGGAAGAGAGCCCACCTTACATCTAAGAACATAAGACAAAGCACCAATTTTAGTAACCTCACCCACCGGAAATATCTCACATTTGCTGAGATTGATTTTGAGTCCTGATACTATCTGAAACCACACCAAAACTTGCTTCAGGTAGGACAACTGATCCATATCAGCATCACAAAAAACTAGGGTGTCGTCCGCAAAAAGTAAATGAGACACTCTTCGGGCACTGTGCGCCCCAATCGGTGCTGAGAAGCCTCTCAAGAAACCTCCGTCCGCCGCCCGATCCATCATTTTACTCAAAGCATCCATCACTAGAATGAAGAGCATGGGGATAGGGGATCTCCTTGCCTGAAACCGATAGAGCTGCCAAAGAAACCACACGGGCTACCATTGACCAGGCCAGAGAATCTGACCGAGGAAATGCAGAACTTGATCCATCCCCTCCATCTTTCCCCAAACCACATCCGTAGCATAATGAAATCCAGGAACTCCCAATTGGCATGATCGAAAGCCTTCTCAAGGTCCAACTTGCAGAGGATGCCGGGTTCTCTATTTTTCATTCTAGAGTCCATAAGTTCATTAGTCACCAGAGCAACATTAGGATCTGCCTACCTTCCACAAACGCATTCTGGGAGGACGAAACTGACTCGTCAAGAACCTTCTTGAGTCTATTGGACAGCACTTTAGAGATAGTCTTGTAAATGCTCCCCACGAGACTGATAGGCATGTAGTCTCTGATGCAAGATGCTCCTTCTTTTTTGGGCACAATAGTAATGAAAGAAGCATTAAAGCTACTTTCAAAAACACCATTCGCGTGAAAGTATTCAATGGCTTCTATCAACTCCCTCTTAATGGTGCCCCAACAGTACTAGAAAAAGGCCAAAGAGAAACTATCAGGCCCGGGGGCCTTATCACCAGCANACTCCCTCTTTGTATAAGTTCTCATAAAATTCCATTATCGCCTTTTTTACCTCCTCCTCTCCCTCAATCCTCACCCCATCCACTACTAAGGACTCTATGAAGTTTCTCCTTCGGTTTGCAACCGCAACCCTGTGGAAGAACTTAGTGTTCGAATCCCTCTCCTTTAACCAGAGCGCCCTCGATTTTTGCCTCCAACTAGTCTCCTGAACTATTGCTAACTCAGCTATTTCNACTCTGCATCCATCTAGCAAGATGGGCAAATGATCAGAAGTCAGCCTAGGCAAAGGAATCTACAGCACATTCGGCACCAGCTCATCCCAGGAAGGAGATACCAAAAATCTATCAAGTCTAGACGTTGAATTGGAATCCTCCACCCTGGCCCAAGTAAACCTTTCCCCTGACAGAGGACGGTCAATGAGAAAATGATCATTGATGAAGTCAGAGAACTCCTCCATAGCCCTCGAAATCGAACTACACCCTAACCTCTCCTCCGGGAACCTTATAGTATTAAAATCTCCTCCTAAAATCCATGGAATGTCCTATGCCCCCATGGCATTGTCCAGTTTCTCCCAGAAAGACACCTTGGACCCTTCTCCTACCGGTCCTTATACTCCCCCAAATCCCAATTCAACCCCACTCACTCTATCTTTAACAAGAGCTGCTAAAGAGATCACTTCCTTCTTAATCTCCTTTACCTCCAAGATCCTATCATCCCACATAAGAAGAATGCCCCCGACACTTCCCGCTGCTGGGACCCAATCATATTTCACCTAACTACCTCCCCAAACATTCCTCACAATCGTATCCGACAAAACTTCCATTTTGGTCTCCTGAAAACAAACACCCCACTCTTTAACTCCCACTTTGTTGGCCCTTTTGTTTGGGTCATTCATTCCCCTCACATTCCATGAAAGAATCTTAACTTCCATAAGCAACAATTTTCCCATTTCCCCACCCCCCTAGCCGAGCCCCCTTCCTCCCTGTCACACACCCGGCCCCTTCTCTGGTACACCACTACATCCCCTAAATAATTTTGCTTTTCACCTTGACCCAACTCCTTCCCTGCACCATCATGAAAAGACTGTTGCTCAATCTTCCTCAACAGTTCTAACACCCTATCTTATTTCCCTTCAAATGAAATACCTAAAAATTTCTCAAAGTTTAAAAGTTTATCCTCTATCCAGTAAGACATACTCCCTACCGAAATTGGACAAGCATCTTCTACTTCTACCCTTTCCTTGCTCTTACCAAAGGAATACAAGACCATAGCATTGCCTTGACCCAACTCCCTCCCTGCACCATCATGAAAAGACTGTTGCTCAATATCCCTCAACAGTTCTAACACCCTATCTTCCTTCCCTTCAAAAGAAACGCCTAAAAATGTCTCAAAGTTTAAAAGTTTATCCTCCATCCAGTAAGACAAAAAAACCCTACCAATGCCGAAATTGGACAAATATCTTCTACTTCTACCCTTTCCTTGCTCTTACCAGAGGAATACAAGACCGTAACATTGCTAGCAATAGGAACTTTAGGTGCCGGAAAATGCCCACCTTTGCCTTGGGAGGCACCAACCACTGAAATTACCACCCCGCTGCTATTCGGATGACCAGAAACACCAGAAGAACATCGTGAAGGAATAGAGCAAGAATCCGGCGAGCCGGCGGCGGCACCTCTCGCCTATCGAAGTTCTGTTCAAAAACCTCATCCGAGAACTTGTATAGAGAAGGATTTCCCGCGGCGCAGCAGTTCTTCCATACCAACTTAGCTGCTCGGCGCTGCTATTGGCATAACAACCGGTACACCATAAGTTAGCCCAACCCAGTCCTCTCGTATTAGGGTTGGCAGATTTTCCGGAACTACTGTTCCAGCACCAAAATCAATTGGGGCAGGCGCAACAATCTCTCCAGAATAAGAAGAAGTACGGAGCGGCATCTCAGCAATGCTACGCACACTAGAAGAGGGAAAGTTGGAGTTGGGTCCACCAGTGGCGGATAGTCGGAGAACCGCACCACCAGCTTTAGCCGGTGCTGCCCCTGAAGCAGAAACGGGGGCCTCCACCAGTGGCGGATAGTCGGAGAACCGCACCACCAGCTTTAGCCGGTGCTGCCCCTGAAGCAGAAACGGGGGCCTCCACCAGTGGCGGATAGTCGGAGAACCGCACCACCAGCTTTAGCCGGTGCTGCCCCTGAAGCAGAAACAGGGGCCTTCATAGAGGAATGCAGGTTGCCGGAGCTTGGTAAAGCACTGGGCGAAGCGCCATTGACGGAAGAAGAATGAGCGGCGTTTCCAATAGGCTTAGGAGCCACTTCAGTCATAGCTTGAAAGATTCTAGGCCGCTTAGGTTCAATTCGAATAGAATTGGGATATGTGGAACGGGGGTTCTGGGCCCATGTATGGAGGCCCAGATCTATTCCTGACATGGGCTGGCCCCATAGTTAATATAAGAGAACACAACCCGTTTTACTAACCCAGGGACAATCTCGTCTTTTCCTCCTATTAAAATTTTATCTTCTTCCAAATTCAAACCCCCCGTCTCTTCTCGATCTGATGATCGTTTCCGGCTGAGACCACTGTTCCGGCGAGCCCCTTTTACCCGCCTCCAAAGACTGATTTCCCCTCCTTTGCTGGCCAAGAGACAGCTTTGATGACATACATGTTTTCCAACTTTCTAGATTCTAGAGAGAAGTAGGAGCTTCTCTCTCTAGAATCCATTTTAGGCTTTTTAACCACTAATTATCCAATGCTTCATTACTGAGTTGTTCCAATTTACCGGCACTCTTTTGCATAAAGCACTTTCTATTTGGTAAATTGAGGAATTTCGCCCTCTCTACTATGTTTTCTCATCTTGAAGGTATCTTTTTACGTATTTATTTGTACTTTTATTCTGTTTGTTTGACACTGCTATTCATGTTTATTGCTTTAGGAATGGAAACTAGTACCAACAGTGCTGACCTTGTTTGAACACCTTTTTGTGAGTTTTGCAATTCGGGTGTTACGGAAGCAAGCTAGTAAAGTAGTTGGGAAAGTAAATTGGAAGCAGAAAGTTGAAGCTGATGATCAAAAAGCCATTGTACCCACATCTGGGGGTGGTTACCAAAAGCTGAGCTTTGTCTGGAAATGGGGAATCGGAAAGTTTGTTTTGTCAGGGATGCTAGCATATGTGGATGGACGATTATGTCGCTATATTCCTAATCCTATAGCCAGAAGGATTGTTAGTGGCTTCTTGTTAAGTTTTCTGGAGAGAAACGACGAATAATTATCGTTTTCTTAAGCTTTCTCATTAAATATAAATGGCAAGTGCACTTTATTCAGAGGCTTCCTTATCAAAGGATAAAGATCACCCCCTCCCCTTTCAATCATATGATGATATTTGATTGGCTATAGAATTTAAGAAATATTTTCGATACAAAAGTTAATTATTTATAATATCCCAATAATATCTAGAGTTTTAATGGTTTTCAATGTGTAATATCATCTTTAGGCGAACAAGTTGTAACAGTTAAACATGAAGGGCATAATTGGAGGAGGAATGCCCTTAGATCATGAATGAATTGTGTTACTTATACTTGATTGGATAAAAGCTTTAGATGTTAAATTTGATTTGTTTATTCTATTTGTAGAGTGGAAGAAAGTTGAACATTTTTTAAAATTGTAAGTTGTAAATGGTCATATATATATATATATATATATATATATATATATATATATCAAAGATTTTTTTAATGTTTTCTTTTGTAAAAGATTGTCATATTAATTGAGATGGAAAGGTAAAAATTGCACGGGTGCCTTATTTGGTCGTCCCTATTTAACCTGTACTCGCTTTTTAATATTTTTTTTAAAAAACTTGTACCCACTGTTTAATCAACTTTAGGCCTTTTTTCTCTTTCTTCTTCATCTTCTTTTTCTTCGAGTAACAATGATTTTGTATAGTAGTTGCGAACATATTTTAAGGTAGTTTATGATGTTTTACAGTGGTGAGCTGTTGTGACGCTTTATTTTTTACTATTGCTTAGGGTTTCTTCTTCTTTTTCTTAATTGCAAAATGGGTTCGTTCAATTTATTGTTGTTTTGACAAATTGATAATGAGAGTTCGTTCTTTGATGATATTTTGAGGTTATGTTTCAAATTTGAGCTCATTTGGAGTAGATTTAGGTATTAAATTGTATATTGGATTGTTAAAATTTGAAGAAAAAATTCCTGGTTTTGGGGCAATTTGCACTTCAAAACTATTTGGCCTTAAGTGCATGAAAACGTTGGTTGCACTTTCAGACCTTTTGGCCTTAAGTGTATCTAAAGAGTAATTTTTCACTTCAGGAAGTGTAATTTTTTACTTCAGACTTATTAGCCTTAAGTGCATGAAACGATTGGTTGCACTTCGGACCTATTTGGCATTAAGTGCATCTGAAGTGCAATTTTTTCACTTCAAACTAATTTTTTTAACTTTAGACCCGATAAGCTTGAAGTTGATCGTAAAGTGGGTAGGCTTGCAATTTTTTTTGCAAAGTGGGTATAGGTTCAATTATGACCCCAAAATCGAATATAGATGCAAAAACCCTGATGAAAAGGGCGTAATCTAATATCTTGCAATATGTATAACTTTGTTGAGTACTACCGTTTTGGGGTTCATAATATCTTTCAAAATTGAACAAGAATTTTGTATGGGTCGAAATTTGTCTCACTATTTGGTGGGAAGTAACTTCGAGAAAAGAGTCGGTTGAGGTCGACCAGGAGATGGTGAAGCATGTGATCGAGATGCAGACACAGGTCGATGACGAGCACGACGGAAAGAACTGTAACGGCTAATTTACTATGATAGGATATTAAAGAGAATATTCCTTTGGATATTCTTTGTACTTGTGTTATTAGGGTTTATTGGGAGTATGTCACATATAAATAGGAAAAAAGACAATGAATAAAGATATGTGATATTCACTTGATAAGAACACTTTTCAGAAGAAGAATCTCTCTCTCTCTAGCAAAGATACAAACATTACATTTTCATCAAGATTCTTGCTCATATTATTCCATACTTTTCCATCTGATTTGAGAATAGTTAGAACATTCTAGGATTTATCTGTCACGCATCATTGTCAGGAGGAACAATCATCTAACTCATTCATTATGGGTGAATCATTCATTCTATTTATTTAAATGTCAAACAATTTGGCGTCGTCTGTGGGGATTTCCTAGTTAAAATTTTAGATTCCTCTAGATCTACAACTAACACAGATTGCTAACGTAAAAAAAAGGAGACCAAGAACAAGATTCTCTTTCTTTGTATACACAGATCTAATGTAGAAGGTAACAGAGAAGAAAGAGTGAGAATAATGAGCGACCTCCCAACTAACCTCATGAGCATCATCAATGAGAGCTCTGAAGCAGTGGACGAGGACGCAACGCCCAATGCCTCCCCCAGACAAGGCGGGTCACCCCTCCTCACTGTAGCATCACGAAATCTCTTGGTAAGGGAGCCTCCACATCCGTGATGGAGGAGACACCACCAACAGTAAAAAAGCTCATTGAGGCTTGGCTTACTGACACGCTAACCAGCGTCCTCCATAAGCCCGTTCGGGACACGGCTACAGAAGCGCAAGGACTTGCATTATACCACCAGCAAGCGAGCAACATGATCAACTTCCTCCTCCTCCTCCTACAATGACAAGTATTACTCACTATGTTGTTAACAATGAAGGTGACGACACTCACGCGGCCATTCTGAATAGGATGGAGGAAATGAAAAATGAGAACAAGGTACTTCGGGACCAAATGAGAGAACACTAAGAAAAGGTCGATAATATACCGGGCGCTCCTAAGCTCTTGCCGAAGAGAGATGCCAGTCGGTTCATATAGCAGTCGTATAGTGACGATGCCGCCCCACATGCCATACCAAAGACCTTTAAAATGCCACCCTACCTGAAAATATACGACGACACGACCAACCCGAAGACCATGTGACCCACTGCGTCACCGCCGTGAAAGGCAATGACCTCGCCAAGAAACAAGAATCCTCTATTTTGTTGAAAATATTCGGCGAGACCCTCACTGGATGAGCATTAACATGATATTCACATCTGCCTGGCGTTCCATTGAAACATTCGAAGAAATGGACGTCAAGTTCGTAACAGCCCATGTTGGGACCAAGAAGGTAGAGGTGAGAGTAAACAACATGTTCGCTATCAAACAGACGCCGGGAGAGGGATTGAGGGACTTCCTCGCCCAATTCAACCGAGTAAGAATGACCTTACCGAATGTATAGGAAGGGATGGCTATCGCAGATTTCCAGAACAGGCTGAGCAGAAATGGTTCAAGGGCAACGAGAAAGTTGTTAAGTCGGCTTATGAAGTACCCCCAACAACTTGGGATGAAATGCACAACGCGTATTGTGCCGAAGTCCGAGCAGACGAGGACGACTTCAATGGGCCGACTCATCGACTGACCTCAGTACAAGCCGAACCCACAAAATATCGAAGAAAGGATATCATGAGGACCTCACAGCTCCACGACCCAACAAGGAGCGGCATCTACCATATGTCAGAACCGCCATTGCATTCTCTTCCTTCCATGAAGAGGTCCTACCCCGATCAAGAGCAGGGACTCACCGGAACGAAAGAGGTATGATGTCCTATTATCCGCTCACAATTTGTGTGTGTCACCTACAGAAATAGTCTACGCCTTGGAGAAGCTCGAAACTAAGGTGAAGTGGCCACAAAAGATGAGGTCATACCCGAATACCAGAAAATCAGATGCCCTTTGCGAGTTCCACCAAGAGCAAGGACACAAAACTGAGGATTGCATCGCCCTAAGACGGGAGGTCGTAAACATGCTACGATAGGGACACCTCAAAAAGTTGTTGAGCGACCGAGGAAGGACTAATTTTGCCAGAGGACGTGAACAACATCAAGGACCGCCAAAACCACCCTTGCCAACCCGCACCGTCCACATGATCATTGGCGGCAGTGACGATGCTTCTATCAACAATGTGAAATTCACCACAACCCACAAGCTCAAACGGTCAATCACCCACGAACGGTATGATGAACTCGAAGAAGGTATCATCTTCGACAAGTTAGATACCAACGGTTTGGCTTTCCCTCACTATGATGCTCTTGTTATCACTTTACGAATTTTAGATACCGATGTAAGGCGCATTATGGTAGACGATGGAAGCGGCGCGTGCATTATCCACTCTTGAGTACTTGCACAAATGAAACTCGAGGATAAGAGTATCGCGTTGCATCACGCTAACGGGTTTAACAGTGCAGTTGAGCGAACATCCGGCGAGATCACACTCACCGTCCTAGCCGGTGGTGTCACTCTAGAAACCCCATTCAATATCATGGACCAAGACACAACATACAACACCATAATAGTGCTACCATAGATACACACCATGAGAGTCATCCCCTCCAGCTTGTACCAAGTCATCAAATTCCCAACTCTATTGGGAATATTCAGTATACGAGGGGAACAACGCACATCTCGGGAATGTCACCGCATCGCTCTAGACTGTACGATCACTTAAAAAATGAAGGACAAAGAAAAAGAGGCATAGCAATCAACAAGGTCGAGGTTGAACGAGGACGTCATCAAAGACCCTCATATGGTTGAAGCCGCGGGATCGACCATAGAAGACCTCGACCCCGTTCAATTAGACGACAACAACCATAGCAAGAAAGTTTACATCGGCTGCAAGCTTCAAGAACCAGGTAAATTTCGTCAATTCTTAACTACTAACACAGACTTGTTTGCTTTTAGCCATGCAGATATGCAAGGTATCCCGAAGGAAATCGCCACGCACAAGCTGAACGTCGACCCATTCCACCCCCCGGTGAGGCAGGTTAAGTGTAAGTTCAACTTCGCAATAAATGATGCGGTACGTGAAGAGGTCAAAACATTATTGGAAAATGGCTCCATCGAGGAGTCAAAATACCCCTAGTGCGTGGCCAATGTAGTCATAGTGAAAAAGAAGAAGAGGAAATGGAGGATGTGCATAGATTTTACAGATTTGAACAAAGCATGCCCCAAGGATTCGTTCACGCTACCTTACATCGACCAACTCATCGACGCAATGACCGGGCATGAACTACTGAACTTCTTAGACACCTACTCGGGCTATAATCAAATCCTCATGGAAGAAGAGGATCAGGATAAAATCACTTTCATTACCCATCAAGGGACGTACTGCTACAGGGTCATGCCATTCGGGCTGAAAAACACAAGGGCAACTTACCAAAGGTTAGTGACAAGGATGTTCAAAGACCAACTCGGTAAAACGATGGAAGTCTACATAGACGACATGTTGGTCAAGTCCAAAAGGAAAGAAGATCACATCGATCACCTTCGACATACTCAGGCAATACGGAATGAAACTAAACCCCGAAAAGTGTGCATTTAGTGTGGCCTCAGGAAAATTCTTGGGCTTCCTAGTGTCACAACGAGGTATCAAGGTCAACCCTGACCAAACCAGAGTCATCGAAGGGATATCAGAGCACTTGACCACCAAAAAATAGGTTCAGAGGTTGACTGGTCGTATCGCTGCCCTTTCGA